ATCAACCTGATTTAAAGGGAGGTAAGAAGGAATTGTGCATGTTGCTGCCTTCCCCTCTGAATATGGATTTCCATGTCTCAGCCTGGACTCAATACCAACATCTGCAAGTATTATGCTAAATGTTTGCATTGTTTTCCTTTGTTCTTTCCTTCCCTCTTGTTTTGCAGATGTTTCTGGAAAGAATCTTCATTACTTATTTTGGACTTGAACTAAAGTTTATTATAATAGAAATCATAGATTTCGACAGGGAGTGTCATGTTTCACATGACTGTCATATGTCTTTAAGTGTTTTCTATATTTTGTCTCTGCTCCTCCTTTTCCTTTGGTTTAGTTAATGCTGTATAGATAGCCCCCCTTTTTTCCCAGAAATGCATTGCAGCTCTAGCCTCATGTCATGAAGCAGAGCACATTATGATCTTTTGACCTATCAGATGTTCATTGTTGTAAGATTCTCTCAGTTTATAGAATAAATTTCACAAGATCTACAAGATATCATCTCGATTGAGTCACTGACTGTGGTATCCAACTGAGATTGGAGTTATTGTTATTTCATCACAACTGTAAGTTACAGAGATCACACTTTCAATGCTTAGATTGGAGAGACAGAACAATGTATGACCTCCATGATTTGCAAGGACAGCACCAAGTCTTCTAGATATGGAATGAACATGTTTGTGACATATTGCAACAACGATCTTTTTTCCGTTCTTCCAGAATGACCTATTTTAAAATTTGTCTCTACAGAATTCCCCGTAATTGTTTGATTGTGCTCAGATCAGGAGACATACTTGGCCACTGAATCACTTTTATCCTGTTCTTCTTCGAAATGCAACAGTGGCCTTAGATGTGTGTTTTGGAAGTTGGAAAAGTGCACGACGACCAAGGACATGAAGTGATGGTAGCATCCTCTCTTTCAGTATAAAGCAGTACATCTGTGAATTCATGATACCATCAATGAAATACAGCTTCCCGACACCAGAAGCACTCATGCAGCCCGACAGAAGGACACTGCCACCACCATGGTTCACTTGTAGGCACCAGGTATTTTTCTTTGTATTCCTCACCTTGGCAACGCCATACAGTTTTGAAACCATCAGTTCCAAAAACATTTATCATGGTCTCATCATTCCAGAGTACAGAGTCCCAGTAGTCGTCTTCTTTTTAGCATGGAAAATCCTGGCATATTCTAGGCAGGCTTTTTTGTGCATGGGATTTAGGAGAGGCTTCCTTCTTGGACGACACCCATGCATGCCATTCCTCTGCAGTGTACGTCGTATTGTGTCACGGGAAACAATCACCCCAGTGAACTAACTGCAGTGAACTTGCAAGGTTAGTTTCTTCAACCCTTCTCATCAGAAGACGCTCCTGTGAAGGTTTTAGTGCCCGTTTACAAATATGCGGATTGTATGCAGTTTGAACCTCATCCACATCTCTCCTCTACAATGTAAAGCATTGATCTAGTGCTTAAAAAAAAAAAAAGGCCTTGTTTACAAGGCGCCAGAACCAGAAGTGATATCACTCTGGTCCTCCAAGGGCATAGAGATGAGTGGAGGCCATCTTTCCTTCACTTATCTCTATGCCCAGCACCAGGATCTTTCAGTGGTTTATCAGGTAAGGCTGAGAACTACTGAGTGGCAGCGGGCAGGTGGCAGTGAGGGGTGGTAGCAGCGAGGGGGCGGGGTTATCTTCGGCACCTTTATTGGTGTTTATTTTCATATCACCCCGATGGCCGACAGGGGTGTTTTCGGCCAAAATGTTTCGGTTGCCAAAAGTTCAGTGCACCCCGAAACCTTAAGTATCTGGGGTTTTTTGCTGGCTAGCTTGAAAGTGTGCCTTTTTACTGCTTAAAGTCTAAAAGAGCTGATTTACGAAAGGCAAATAGGATGCTCACTTTGCAAGGGGAGTTGCACTTTGCAAGGGAATTTTCCACAGGGCTTAGTGAATGCAGTTCACTTTGCAAAGAATCCTCAATCATATCCAAGGAAAAGAAAAAGAAAAAAAAAGTTTGCTTGCACATTATTGAATGTTGGACTGTTGCAGAGCTTCACCTCATTCACTGAGCTCTGGGGACTATTCTCTTGCATGGTGTAACTTACTTTGCAAAGTGAACAGTCTATTTGCCTTCAGTAATCAAGAAATACACTTGAAAACACTGTCAGTTATTTTACATGCAATCAGCAGTTTGACAGTTTGAACTAAATAAACCTGACCGATCACTGCACTGTTGATGCCGCAATCTCTCCTGTTTTGTCTTTGTATTCTGACAGGGGGACTAGGGACGCACCACCCACCCACAATACACTGATCAGCTCTTGCTGCTATTGGCTGCAGATGCTGATCGGGTTCCACAAAACCCGGCCATTAGATCAGTTTCTGATGGATAAACAGCTGTACACATTGACAAAGAGTCAGCCAGTTCCTGCTGTACCCAGCTTAACCTCCCTGGCGGTATTCCCGAGTGTAGCTCGGGGTAACATTTCAGTACCAAAAGCGGTAACCCCGAGCTACACTCAGGAATACCATGCGGCACTGCTCCGGCATGTGTTCTTCACTTACCTTACCCTGCGCTCCCACGATGTGTCCCCTGCAGCGTCCCCGGCCATCTCCTCCGGCCGATGCCGGCATCCGGCTTCTGTGTCCTGTCCCTGTGACGTCGGGACATACGGGCGCCGCGAAATTTAAAAATTTTAAAAAATGTCATTTTTTTTTTTTTTTCATTTTACACAGTAAAACATTGCTGTTTCAACCTATTTCACATACATATTGTCCCTAGTGCTTTGTCCTGTGCCCTGCCTGCATTTTGTCTGTTCTTTCTGCCTGGAAACTGAGAAATGTCCATGGCGTCCAAAAAGCGTCCCTTTAGGTCACAAGCGGTTTTAGACCAGCTAGAGAACAGCGATAGTAAATTAGAACCACTTGCAGAATTGAGTGATAATGATTTGTGGGGAAATTCGTCATCAGAAACTGAAAACGATTTTGCGACTGAGCTCAGCAATGTGCGAACTTGGCGCTCTATTTCACATTTCAGTGTTTTTGGTTTGATTATATTATTGAATTAAATTTTTTATTATTTTTATATTATTTTTATGATTATTTATTAAATTATAATTTATGATTTTGTGTTTCAAATTTTATCATACCCGGATGTTTACAAGACTCTTGTTCGGACAGATTTCAGTGAGTTTTTCCTAAAAATTACAGCCTACAATAAAAAAAATACATATTTCCATGCAAAAAAATGGTATGGTACCGCTTTCAGCACCAAAAATCGGAAATAATCATACCGCCAGGGAGGTTAAGGAATTTACTCTGCTTTCCACTATTCTCCCTATTTACTATGCAGCCCAGCTGTCCGTTTGTTCAGTGTTAACAAAATGAGTATTCCATCTACTGATAAGTGTTTTGTGTACTGATTGCAAGTTACTGGCTGAACAGTGAGAGTGATAACTGCACTGAATACAGTTGTAGTATAATACATCAAAAGTCTACTGTATGAATGGAGTTGATCAACATTGTATGTGGGCGATGAATACACTTTAAAATACTATAAAGACTCTGTGTCATAGCGGGATGAGAGGCTTATCATCAAGAGATCTGCTCAATACACTATTTGCTTACACTGCCCTTGAGTTAGAACTTATGTAAATCACATAAAATGTCACTTACAATAGCTTCATTATAGAGATTCATAGAGGAGGAATTGTATGAGTAGCTGCATTGCCCCTTCATTTACATACATAACCAGCAGATATCTTTGCCAGTACAATTCAAATTGCTGTGTAAAAGTCATCATACATTGTGTTGGTCTCATTTTGGCGCCTGTTTACCCCCACAGTTCAATTTAAAGCCTAGTACACTTGGTAAGTTTTTTTTTCATTCAACCCAGCGGGCAGAAAAAGAAAAAAAAACTAAGGTGGGCGCTGTCATAATGATGTGATTTTAGTACAGACTATTGTGTTCTGACAGGGGGACCGACCCCCACCCTACCACGCCAGAACACACCGATCAGCTCTCACAGCCATTGGCTGCTGGTTTTCCAAGAGATTGGCTTCTGTCATATGAGGACCCGTACACACAGGCTAACTGTTGGCCGGTACCTACTGTACCATCTGATTTTGGCCGATCTTTGGCCTGTGAGTACGGGGCTTTAAGTGAAACTAAACCCATAAATGTAATTATTTTCCAAAACAGTTACACTCAAGGTATGCCAGGAATTATAACTGTCACAGCTGCTTGTGCTCCCAACTAAACTGTCAAGCCATCAAATGGCTAGTGTCATAACTGATTTCACGTGCAGCACCATGGCAACTGCAGATCGAACAGAAGCTAAGATTACAGCTTCCTTGGCAGAAAAGTATAGGAGGGTTTAGTTCTGCTTTAAGTACCGTATTTTTTGCTCCATAAAACACACTTTTTTCCCCAAAAACAATGGGGGAAAATGTCTGTGCGTCTTTTGTAGCGAATATGGAGCAGCTGGCCTGGTATTCTCCCCCCATTGTCGCTGCCGCCATGTTGGAATACCAGGCCAGCTGCTAGGCTCTACTGAACAGAAGAACCTGCTCCTGGGTCCTACCTGTTCCTCGGTCCAGCAGTGTCCTGCTTTCACCGGCCGTCTTCTCTCCCTGGCGCCAGCATCTTCAGAATGGGCACCCAGCTGTGATTGCTTGCGGCTTCACAGCCGGGTGCCCACTGCACATGCGTGAAAAGCGCTGCGCTTTGTGAATGGCCCCGTAGTCTTGTGGGACCTGTAATGTGTTCCACAAGAGTACGGGGAGGGAGGGGGGGAGGACAACTCTGCAGAAGTGGGAGCGGGTACCTGTCAAATTACGCAGTCTCTGGTCATCTCCTGTAGTATGTCTGCAGTCTCTGGTCATCTCCTGTACTATGTCCGCAGTCTCTGGTCATCTCCTGTAGTATGTCTGCAGTCTCTGGTCATCTCCTGTACTATGTTTGCAGTCTCTGGTCATCTCCTGTATTATGTCCGCAGTCTCTGGTCATCTCCTGTACTGTGTCCGCAGTCTCTGGTCATCTCCTGTACTGTGTCCGCAGTCTCTGGTCATCTCCTGTACCGTGTCCGCAGTCTCTGGTCATCTCCTGTACTGTGTCCGCAGTCTCTGGTCATCTCCTGTACTGTGTCCGCAGTCTCTGGTCATCTCCTGTACTGTGTCCGCAGTCTCTGGTCATCTCCTGTACTGTGTCCGGAGTCTCTGGTCATCTCCTGTACTGTGTCCGCAGTCTCTGGTCATCTCCTGTACTGTGTCCGCAGTCTCTGGTCATCTCCTGTACTGTGTCCGCAGTCTCTGGTCATCTCCTGTACTGTGTCCGCAGTCTCTGGTCATCTCCTGTACTGTGTCCGCAGTCTCTGGTCATCTCCTGTACTGTGTCCGCAATCTTTGGTCACCTCCTGTACTATGTCCGCAATCTTTGGTCACCTCCTGTACTATGTCCGCAGTTTCTGGTCATCTCCTGTAGTATGTATGCAGTCTCTGGTCATCTCCTGTAGTATGTATGCAGTCCATTGGGTCAGAATTTATTTTTCTTGTTTTCCTCCTCTAAAATCTAGGTGTGTCTTATTGTCAGGTGCGTCTTACGGAGTGAAAAAAATGGTAGTTCGACTTAGCCTAAAAGACATCCTCCATTATGACATATAACATTCATAACTGAAAAGGAAACCTTCAGATGTATAAGGGAATTACCTGCTAAGTACTTATGTTTTCCTGTAATGCAACTTTCATTTTTAATTTTGTTTTGAATGTGTCCCTGTTGTCAGAATGAGGTTTCCTGCTATTCGTTAACTTCTGAAGTTGGGTGGTTGCCTGAAGGAAAGCATTGGAAGTTGTCGGAAGATTTTTTTCAGTATGCCACCTTTTATTATGTTAGGTTGCAACTCTGTGATTTTCTTTCTTATCTCTTCTAGTACTGAATTATATGCGGTTACTGATTGTGCCCAGTTATTTGTTTTTATTTTATCGTTGTAATATTTGAGATTTTTTTTTGGGGGGGGTTCAAGTGCTGACCATCAAGCAACCACCCAACCTCAGATATAAATGAATCAGCAGAAGGCTTCATTCTGACTACAGGGTTGCAAACAATGCAAGAAAACGTGCAGCCACACCAATCTGTTATAAAATATCACACACACAAAAGGGACCTTCAGTATTACTGGGTCATACAGCTGTACCTTTAGTAAATGATATACCACATTGAACAATCATTTCGCAAAACCTTTGTATATCACAGTGCTGCTTGGACTGATAGAAAGTAGTAGACTCCAGAAAATTTTATGTGACATTAAAAAATATCTTTATTCTCCAAAAACAATCAATACAAACCCACCACTTAAACGCCCTGTAATCTATTTTTCATGAAATCATTACTGGTTTTCTGCCGCCTTGTCCTCCCTTGTCTTCTTTTACCACTCACTTCCATTTATTTGGAATGAACAGTGCATGTAAGTTGCAGTCATGTGCACTGTTCTATGCACACTACAAATCCAAAAGTCCCTAGTCCATCTAAGGAATGAGAGAGGGTGGCTATATACAGGGAGACCATGGAGAATGAACGTAGCCACCTTCCAACAGCAACTCTGATCACAGTAGCAAAAAAAAGGAGTTTGGACACCTGGAGGAGGTTGAGGGCAATAGAAGTTACATTTATAAGTAAAGAATTTATATTTGAATAGATTTGTTTAACAGTTTAGTGTCAGTTTAACTATTATTGCAAATAAAAAAAATCATGTAAAATACTCAGGTATGTTGTAGATTTAACCTACCTAGCGGTATGATTATTTCAGATTTTTGGTGCTGAAAGCGGTACCATTATTTTGCATGGAAATATGTATTTTTTTTTATTGTAGGCCTGTAATTTTTAGGAATAACTCACTGAAATCGATCCGAACAAGAGTCTATTAAACATCCAGGTATGATAAAACTTGAAACATGAAATCATAAATTATAATTTAATAAATAATCATAAAAAATAATAATATAATAATAATAATAAATTTAATTCAATAATATAATCAAACCAAAAACACTGAAATTTGAAATATAGCGCCAAGTTTGCACATCGCTGAGCAAAGTCGCAGAATCGTTTTCAGTGTCTGATGACGAATTTCCCCACAAATCATTATCACTCAATTCTGAAAGTGGTTCTGATTTACTATCGCTGTTCTCTAGCTGGTCTAAAACCGATTTTGACCTAAAGGGATGCTTTTTGGACGCCATGGACTTTTCCATGCAGAAAGAACAGTCAAAATGCAGGCAGGGGACAGGACAAAGCACTAGGGACAAAAATGTATGTGAAATGCTTTGAAACAGCAATGTTTTACTATGTAATAATCGTTTTTAAAAAAAATTCATTTTTTAAAATTTGCAAATTTGCTGCTAGTTCCGGCACCCATACGTCCCGACGTCACAGGGACAGGAACACGGAAGCCGGATGCCGGCATCGGCCGGAAGAGATGGCCGGGGACGCTGCAGGGGACACATCGCGGGAGCGAAGGACAAGGTAAGCGCTGCAGTGAATCCCTGTGCAATGCTGCATGGTAAGCCCGAGAGTAGCTCGGGGTTACCGCTTTTGGTACTGAAATTTTACCCCGAGCTACACTCGGGAATACCGCTAGGGAGGTTTAGGGCTAGTTCACACTAGATGCAGTTCAGTGCGCTTTGTTTTCTGCATCAAAAATGCATGCACAGTGTTTTCCATGTATTCCAATGGCTCTGGTTCATACTAGTGCTGTCAGTTCCAGTCAGTTTCGGTTGCAGAAAAAAAAGTAGAACATGCTGCATTTTTTCTGCAGAGAACCATACTGGAACATAGCAAACTGCATCAAAACTGCCCCGGAACTGCGTGTGGTGTGAACTGTAAGCAAAAACATATTCGTAATGCATCTGGCATGCGTTTTTGTAGTTTGAACTGGCCCTTAAAGGTGAGATGATACACTATATTGCCAAAAGTATTGGGACAGCCCTCCACATCATTGGATTCAGGTATTTCACTCACCTCCATGGCCACAGGTGTATAAAATCAGGCACATAGGCATGCAGACTGCTTCTACAAACATTTTGTGAAAGAATGGGTCGCTCTCAGGTGCTCAGTGAATTCAGGCGTGGTACCGTGATAGGTTGCCACCTGTGCAATAAGTCGACCCGTGAAATTTCCTTGCTACTAAATATTCCACAGTCAACTGTTAGTGGTATTATAACAAGGTGGAAGCAACTGGGAACAACAACTCAGCCACAAAGTAGTAGGTCACGGAAAATGACAGAGTGGGATCAGCGCATGGTGAAGCGCACAGTGCGCAGAAGTTGCCAACTATCTGCAGAGACAATAGCTAAAGACCTCCAAACTTCATGTGGCCTTCAGATTAGCACAACAACAGTACATAGAGAGCTTCATGGAATGGGTTTTCTATGGCCGAGCAGCTGCATCCAAGCCTTACATCATCAAGTGCAATGCAAAGCGTCGGATGCAGTGGTGTAACGCATGCCACCACTGGACTGTAAAGTGATTAATTTAGGCGGTTGCCAAGAGAACAGTACTTGCCTGACTGCATTGTGCCAAGTGTAAAGTTTGGTGGAGGGGGGCTCCGACATCAATGCCTGACCTCACAAATGCGCTTCTGGAAGAATGGTCAAACATTCCCATAGACACTCTCCTAAACCTTGTGGACAGCCTTCCCAGAAGAGTTGAAGCTGTTATAGCTGCAAAGGGTGGGTCAACTCAATATTAAACTCTACGGACTAAGACTGGGATACCTTTAAAGTTCATGTGCGTGTACAGGCAGGCGTCCCAATATTTTTGACAATATATTGTATCTTTGAGTGAGAAATATATGTTCCGGTCAACTATTCTGGCTAGATGACTCAAAGTACTGTATCTGGAAGCAGTGCCTTCTAAGTGCAGTCAAATACTTTATTTTATTTTTTTAATATTCTTTATTTAAGGTATGCAACAAGACCATTTAGTATGACAAGACAGTCTGTTATCATTAATAACCTTCAACAGTAATACATTAAGCATGTACAATCAAGAGGTTAAAAGACTGCATTATAGCAATAGACCAAGTTCCTTCATAATAACAGACAGCACCTAAAGACTCATGGCCATGGCATCAACGCAACTACTTTATTTACATGAAAATGGTAACTCCCAAAGGTAGTGAACAAGAACGCTCATCAAGCTTAAAGCACCAATGTATGGCTCTGGTCCGATTCCACTGGTTATGTTCTCCCATTGCTTCCTAGTCAGTGTGGGCCCAGAGAACAGGCGGAAGTGACATCCCTACTTGATACGAAAGCGGTGGGTGTGGCATACGTTTGGAGCATGCTCTAAATGCATGCCACCCTACTGCTTCAGCATCCAGTAGTGACATCACTTCTACCCGTTCTGTGGACCCACACCAACCAGAAAGTGCTGGGAGCCACCAGTACAGCCAAGGATAGCAGTTGGACAGCAGTAGCTCTAAGGTTTTAGCTGCTGTCAGGTGCCCATTGAGGGAAGCCTTGCTGTGTGGGAGCCACCTCACCAGAGCTAATGTTTGAATTTTTCCTTCATCTGGCTGCATGTACAAGTTTGAAAGTTCCCAGCACCTCTAATGGTAGATACAGGGCATCGTTCAAGGGAACATTGATTTATATAATATACACACCAACGGGATAATAGTTTTTCAAAACTTTTATCCTAGAATACTAATATTTACAGTTTATTCCATTTGTATCTCTACACATCATTGTTCACCTTCATGGCTGAAACACATCATGAACTACTTTTTTATTGAGATACTGAACATGTTACCACTTACTGTCTTATTGTTAAGGTTCATTTTCTGTTATTAAGGCCCCATTCACACCTGAGCAATTTTCTGCTTAAAGCTTGTAGCTCAAAACTCGCAACAAGCCAAATCCCATTCAATGACCCCTTTTAAAATATGAGTGTTCCTTCACCTGAAGCAACACGCCTGTCACTCAAAATGGACATAGTTACATAGTTAGTCTGGCTGAAAAAAGAAACAAAATCTATCCAGTTCAACCATTAAATAAAAATGAGCTTCCTTTTGGTAGATTACAAGCGTTTTTGGCCCCATAGACTTCAATAGGAACGCCTGAAAATGTGTGACGTTTTACAAGCGTTTTGTCACGCATTTTATGCTCAAACAGCAGCTCCCCCTCTCCTCCCTCCAGTGCTTTCTGTTGGATAAAGAAAACGCCTGAAGCTGTAAAACACTTGTAATACGCTTCTAAAACGCTTATAATATACCTCTAAGGCTCCATTTTCAAAGTTTTCAAAGCAAGCAAAATTGCGTGGCTCCCTAAAATGGTTTCGGAACCATTGTTGGGTGTCGCACGTCCCGAACGTTTGTTTGAAAATGCACTGCGACCGCTGCAAAAATGCCTTGCATTTTCAGGTGCCATTGAAATGAATGGCACCTGAACACGCGAATGTGCGTTTTCACACTTTCACAGCGCGTTTTCAAATCACAGGCAGAATCACGGGCGGAATCGCCGAAAAGCCCTAGTGTGAATGTAACCTAAAAAAGCTCAAAAACTCTCAAATAAAAACGCCAGTAAATCGTTATGCTCAGGTGTGAATGCAGCCCTACAGGTGTTTACAGAAAATTCTCTTGATAAGAACCTTATTCAAAAATTATTAAGAAAAACCAGAATTGCCAGAATATATTACATTGTTATCTTTCCATATGCATTCTTCAACAGGCATCACTCCTATTCTGTAGTTGCCTAAAGTGGAGCTCCTGTAACAATACAAAAAAATAACAGTCAGCAGTTTTTGTTTTTATAGATCCCACGGTGTCCTCACCACAGCCTATTTCACCGGCAGTCCTCTGTCCCCAGGACCGGAATCTTCAGTGTGGGCACCCGGCAGCGACAGCTTGTGGCTTCACAGCCGGGTGCCCACTCCGCATGCGCAAGTAGTGTTTCGCTTTCTGAATGGGGCTATGAGAGTTTGGGCTAGACAGCATCTGATTGGTCAGCACCATCCATGTGACGGTGATAACCAGTCAGATGCCATCTAGCCCAAACTGTCATCGCTGCAAGCAGGGAAAAGGTGATTTCAAATCCCCGCCACTTTCTCTCCTATCACTGAGACTCAGCATGGGGTGCCTGCAGGGAGGTTTCCTGCACCGCTCCTGTGTGAACTTGGGCTATAACAAGCTTAGGTTCACACAGGAGCAGTGGGGAAACCGCACTTCCTGTTCAAATCGCATGATATTCTTTGCGTTGCAGTTGGTGTCCATTAACGCAAATCACACCACAGAGCATCGGTAATCAGTATCTGCGAGTACTTGACCGAACGTATCAGTACGCGTATTCGCTGATTAAAAACCGGTATCGGTGCATCCCTACTTATGGTCAGGTATAAAAACATTTTTTTTCCTTTTGGGTTAAAGATTTTATAGTGCCTTGAAAAAGTATTCATACCCCTTGACATTTTCCACATTTTGTCATGTTACAATCAAAAATGTAAATGTATTTTACTGGGATTTTCTGTGATAGACCAATACAAAGTGGCACATAACTGTAAAGTGGAAGGAAAATGATAAATGGTTTTAAAAATGTTTCACAAATAAATATGTGAAAAGTGTGCATTTGTATTCAGCCCCCCGGGGTCAATACTTGTAGAACCACCTTTTTCTGCAATCATAGCTGCAAGTCTTTTTGGGGATGTCTCTACCAGCTTTGCACATCTAGAGTGAAAGCCCATTCTTCTTTGCAAAATAGCTCAAGCTCTGTCAGATTGGATGGAGAGCGTCTGTGAACAGCAATTTTCAAGTCTTGCCACCGATTCTCAATTGGATTTAGGTCTGGACTTTGACTGAGCCATTCTAACACATGAATATGCTTTGATCTAAACCATTCCATTGTAGCTCTGGCTGGATGTTTAGGGTTGTTGTCCTGGTGGAAGGTGAACCTCCTCCCCAGTCTCAAGCCTTTTGCAGACTCTAACAGGTTTTCTTCTAAGATTGCCATATGTTTGGCTCCATCCATCTTCCCATCAACTCTGACCAGCTTCCCTGTCCCTGCTGAAGAAAAGCATCCCCACAACATAATGCTGCCAGCACCATGTTTCACAGTGGGAATGGTATGTTCAGGGTGATGTGCAGTGTTAGTTTTCTGCGAAACATAGCATTTTGCTTTTAGGCCAGAAAGGTCAATTTTGGTCTCATCTGACCAGAGCACCTTCTTCCACATGTCTGCTGTGTCCTCCATACGGCTTCTCGCAAACTGCAATCAGGACTTCTTATGGCTTTCTTTCAACAATGGCTTTCTTCTTGCAACTCTTCCATAAAGGTCAGATTTGTGGAGTGCACAACTAATAGTTGTCCTGTGGACAGATTCTCCTACCTGAGCTGTGGATCTCAGCAGCTCCTCCAGAGTTACCATGGGCCTCTTGGCTGCGTCTCTGATTAATGCTGTCCTTGCCTGGCCTGTCAGTTTAGGTGGACAGCCATGTCTTGGTAGGTCTTCAGTTGTGCCATGCTCTTTTCATTTTTGGATGATGGATTGAACAGTGCTCTGTGAGATGTTCAAAGATTAGGATATTTTTTAAAACCTAACTCTGCTTTAAACTTCTCCACAGCTTTATCCCTGACCTGTCTTGTGTGTTCCTTGGCCTTTATGATACTGTTTGTTCACTAATGTTTTTTAACAAACCTCTGAGGGCTTCACAGAACAGCAGTATTTATACTGAGATTAAATTACACACAGTTGGACTCTATTTACTAGTAGGTGACTTCTGAAGGCAATTGGTTCCACTAGATTTTAGTTATGGGTAAAGGGGGATGAATACAAATGCACGCCAGACTTTTCAGATATTTATTTGTAAACAATTTTGAAAACCATTTATCATTTTCCTTTACAGTGCACAACTATGTGCCATTTTGTGTTGGTCTATCAGTGTGGTGAACCTATGGCACGCATGCCAGAGCTGGCATGCAGAGCCATCTCAGTGAGCATGCCAGGAAGAAGAGGAAGAAGAACGCACACGGACTGCGCACACTGACCGGCCATCCAGATCTCGTCCACACCGCACGCTCCATTGAACTACATCTCCCATGTGTCTCTGGGGCCAGGGTGGGCGCGGACAAGAGGAAGTGGCTCCCACACGGCTCTGGCGTCAGGGGTAACGTATCCGGGAATGGCATGGATGAGAGGAAACGGCTCCCACACTGCTCTAGGGCCAGTGGTGATGCGTCTAGTGTGGATGAAAGGAAGCAGCTCCCACACTTCTCCGGGGCCAGGGGCGACGTGTTCAGCTTGGATGGGAATGAGCTGCCGGGTAAGAAGCCACATTGACGCTGCCGAAGGCAAGATTAACTGTTTCCCAACCGTGCTATCACCGAAAGACGGCTACAGCGGGGTTGTCTAGTTCTGGGAGGGCGTCCATTGACGTCCTCC